AGTATAGAAGTCCCCTACTATTAATGAATTGGGATTAATCTGGGTCTTAAAGTCCTGTAGTATTGTTTTTACGAAGTTGGGTGCACCAGAGTTTGGTGAATATATGTTCATGATTGTAATATCTTCTTGGTTTATTGTTGCTTTGATCAGAATGAAGTGGCCCTCTTTATCTCTTCTGATTAATTTTAAAGTCTATTTTGTTATATATTAGAATTGCTACACCTGCTTATTTCTTAGTACTATTCGTTTGGTATATTTTTCCCCCCATCCTTTCACCTTAACATATTGCCTGTCCTTGAAAGTGAGATGAGTTTCTTGCAGACAACAAAAAGATGGGTTTTGTTTCTTAATTCATTCACCTAGTCTGTGTATTTTGACTGGGGAGTTCAGTCCGTTAATATTTAAAGTTATTAATGAAAGATGTGTATTGAATGCTGCCATTTTTATTTCTGTTCACATTCTTGATACAGCTGTACTTTTCTACAATTATACCTTCATTGAATTTCTTTCTGCAACCCCTTGGGTATAGTCATTCTTTTCTTCTGCTCTTTGTATTGCTTCCAGAACTCTCTGAAGTGCTGGCTTTGTGGACATGAATTCCTTCAGCCTATTTATGTCATGGAGGATTTTTCTTTCCCCTTCAACTATAATAGACATTTTGGCTGGATATAGTAATCTGGTTTAAAACTGGGAATACTTTGTTCCAGGCTCTTCTGGCTTTCATAGTTTGCACTGAAACATCAGCTGCAATCATAATGGGTTTTCATTTATATGTGACTTGTTGTTTTTCTTTTGCAGCTTTCAGTATTGTCTCTTTGTTCTGTATATTTAGTGTTTTTACTGTGATGTGCCATGAAGAGTTTCTTTTCTAGTCTTGTGTATTTGGTGTTCTATATGGTTCTTGTATTTGTATGGGCATGTCTTTCTTTAATTTTGAGAAATTTTCTTTCACAATTCTGTTGAAGATCTGGTCCATGCCATTGTCTTGGGATTCTTCTCCTTCCTGTATGCCTATGATTCACAAGTTTGGTCTTTTTATGGTATCACTCAATTCCTGTACATTCCATTCTTGTGATTTCTTAAATTTTTCATAGTCTTTGCTTGAGTGGTCCAGTTTGTCCACTTTATCTTCCAATCTTGATACGCTGTTTTCCATTTCGTTCATCCCATTGGTGAGGCTTTCTCCTGTCGTTTCTAATTGGCTTACTGAGTGTTTTACTTCCTTCTTCATTTCAGCCTGAGTATTC